CTGCTGTGGCCACATAACAAACCAGCTGTCTGAGTTAAGGTAAGATGCTAGGGTTCTGCTACAGAAAACATGGTTGCCATCACTGGAATACATAGGAAAGAGCCAATTACTTAAGTTCCTCTCAGAGCTTACCCTAAATTCATGTCACAGGTAGTCACTGTATAGACATTTCTCTGAATTTTTTATATTTTCCAATTTCTTAAGAATTCTAAATAAAACTGCAAAGGTATAAGAAAACACAGCACTACAGATATTTAAAAAGATGGTTAATATACGGCTTACATTTTACGTAATTGAGGAAGTTTCTTGAAGATGCCTGTAGCTTCCAACACTGTAAATTCATTATTATTGAGGCGTCTAGGGAAAACAGAAACAGAAAAGTTTCATTCCCAACAGTCAGGAAGAGATTAAATTTTATTTCTCATACAGAATTATAACACTATTTAATGAATATCCTAAAGCAAAATATACGACACATATCACAGAAAATTTGAGGGAAGTACAGATTTTTTCCAATTTATCCCATATTTTAATGACCAAAATAAAACATATTAAGAAGCACATAATGAAGAAAACCAATCATCAAAATTCAAAACCAACTCTCATTCAGTAATCTGTAGAACAAAGTTTCTCAAACCTTTTTTTCCACTATTACCCCTGCCTCCAAAAGCACTTTAGGATATTTTTTTCCTCGTCACTTCTCCATAAATATGTATCAACAGCTTTACTGATATACAGTTTACACACCACACAATGTACCCTTTTAAAGTGTACAATTTGGTGGTTTTTAAAATATTCACCAGCTTGTGCAACCGTCTTAGCTTCCTAATTCCAGAACATACTCTTCATCCAAAAAAGAAACCCCATACCCATTAGCGGTCATTCTCAGTTTGCTGCCCCCCACTGCCTCCATCCCTGGCAAGCACTAATTTACCTGCTGTCTCTGTGGATTTTCCTATTTTGAATATTTCTTATAAATGGGATCACACAAAATGTGGCCTTTTGTGTCTGTTATTTTCACGTGGCATAATATTTACAAGGTTCTTCCATGTTTAGCATAGATTAGTACTTCGGTCTGTTTTACGGCCAAACTACATTCCATTGTGTGGACTGTGTTAATCCATTCATCAGCTGATGGATATCTGAGTTGCTCTCACTTCTTAATCGTTATAAATAATGCCGCTAGGACACCGGCATACAAGATTTTGTATGGCTGTATGTTTTCAATTCTCTTGGTTATGTACGTTGATGTGAAATTGCTGTGTCATGTGGTAAATCTATGTTTAACTCCTTGAGGAAGAGCCCAGCTCAAAAGTTTCTCAAACGTGCTGCATCGTTTTACCTTCCCACCAGCAATGTATGAGGGGCCCAATTTCTCTCACCTGATACTGTCTTTTTAAAAAGCCATTCCACTGGATGTGAAGTGCTTTCTCATTATGTTTTTTTTTTTTTTTTCCTCATTACGGTTTTGATTTGCGTTTTCTTCATGCCTAATGATACTGGGTATCTTTTTTTTTTTTTTTTTTTGCGGTATGCGGGCCTCTCACTGTTGTAGCCCCTCCCGCTGTGGAGCACAGGCTCTGGACGCACAGGCCCAGCCGCTCTGCGGCGCAGCATGTGGGATCTTCCTGGACCGGGGCACGAACCCACGTCCCCTGCATCGGCAGGCGGACTCTCAACCACTGCGCCACCAGGGAAGCCCGATACTGGGTATTTTTTCATGTGCTTATTGCTCATTTTTATATCTCTTTGGAGAAATGTCCATACAAATAATTTGACCACTTTTTAACTGGGTAAGGTACATTTTAATTGTTGGGTTGTAAGAGCTTATTACAACTTGTGCTTATTGCTCATTTTATTGCTCATTTTTATATCTCTTTGGAGAAATGTCCATACAAATAATTTGACCACTTTTTAACTGGGTAAGGTACATTTTAATTGTTGTTTTTTTTTTAGATATGTTTTACAAATATTTTCTTCCCAGTACTGATTTTTAAAGGTATAATTTAAAAAAAATCTTAATTTCTTAAAACACACACAACTTTTGCTGAAAGATGAATTAGATATGAATTTCTAAATTCTTGAGTGACAAGTAAACTTATTTAAAGTATTATCATGCTGGAAGATAAAATTTGAATTATTGTTTGTGGTATTATTGGAAATAAATGTAACTCCCTACATGATAGTAAATAGAGAGTTCACGGCTTTTACTGCATGGTCTCCATGCATTTCTAAAGTCCTGGACCTATGAAATAGCTTCATGAACTAACAGAAATTTTAAAAAGCATCATTATAACCACTAGGTAGTGAGTTTCTGCCATCTTTTTAAAGCATTATATTATTTTTAATTATTCAAATTGCTTAAAATTCATTAAGTAACAGGCATGACTATAGGCACTGTGGGAGATAAACTATAAAACACAATCTCTGTCATCAAGGGGCTATAATCTAGTCGAAGACAAGAGAATTATACATGCACAAAAAGACAACCAACTTTGCAAAGCAGTTAATGAAAAATACCAGATGGTGCTAGACATAAACATTGCTAAGATGTTCTAAAAATGATGAGGTTTCACTAGGTTTTTCTTGGATTTTTAGAAACACTAACATTAAATGTCATACTTTTATAAATAAAGTCAGTGAAGGCCAACATACATGGGCACAGAATCTATAAATGATTCAAACATATTTTAGACCCTCGTATGTGTTAGGCCCTATGTTAGTGTTATAAATATAGATCTGATTACACTCTGTCTTTTTAGCTTTTCCTGCTATGATACCCATTGTTCAGAAAAAAACCATCCTTTGTGCTTCATACTTGGTAAACATTGAATCCTTCCACATGTGAGTCAGTGAAGTAGGACAGCTGATAAAAAAATGACTCTGATTGAATTCATAATTAACACAGATTCAAAATGGTGACTCCAAATTATTTTATTTGGTTGCTGAAAAGACTACATTAAAAATCTATTAAGTGCTTAGAAATGGGTTTGGACATTAGTAATATCCAAGAAATAAATATCAAATGAATGTATTATTATTAGCACTACGAAGTGCTAACTGAATTTTTGAGAGGTGAGTTAATTTCTGTAGTTGTATCTTGGGCCAGAAAGATGAAGTAAGAAAACCTCTAATACATATGCTTGTACAAAGAAGAGTTATGCCAATGTATGTCAATTAAAATTAATGTAATTATTGAGAATGAAAGGGCAAGACAAAAATCCCAATGCTTTGATGCTTTCATTCCTTCCCTCCCAAATCGGATTTTGTTGGGAGATGAACTTACAGCTCTGCAGTGTACTGGGGAATGTGGTCTGGGATTTTGGTGAGTTTTTGATTGGAGCAATCTACTGTGGTCCCTTCACAGCGGCACTTTTCAGGGCAAGCCAGATCGGCAAAGCAGTCCCCACTTAATTTTGATCGATAATCTTCTGTACCTATTGAGGATTCAAGCCAGAAAAGAAGATACTGAGTCTGAAGGTTAGAATATTTGTTTATTTGTAGGAAGAAAAAAGTAAGATAACTATAGATTATGCAGCAGGGAGACAACTTGGGGAATTTTGGTCAATGGATGTCAGGAGAGGGTTAAAACAAGGGCTTGGAATTTGCTGGAAAAAAGAGTAACCAGATTCACAGGACAGGAAAACATTAACAGAGTTGAGCTTTTCACAGCTGTACTTTCTGCTGATCCAGTTATGAGCCATTCTAGACTATTTGACAGCTAATCACACAATGGCTACTAGTCGTGAAAAAGTTTATTTTTTCTCTGAGTCAAGAATTTAAAATGTATCCAGTAATAAACATATGCCTAGATATCATTTTCAATTAGGGCTTTCAAGGCAAATAGATGGACTCAGGTTTTTAAATTTTCTATGGTCTTTTATTATTCTCTCCCTCTCACATAATCTTCAGAAATGCTTAAAAAGCCCTCTTTTGTTCATTTTGATTTTATAAAAAGAAACAAGTAAATCCTGATTTAAGCCTCAGCAGCTTGTCATGCTGTAGAAAGCTGCGTGACGTTCCATGGTGCTTGACGGAACCATGTTTTACTCATACCTGGCAACCACATGGTTAGATCAAGCACAACAGAAAATCTCGCTACATAACCACTACACCATCCACTAGGCCAAAGGTAAGACCAAGAGGAAAGATGAAGGGAAGCAGGAGAAAAGCTACAGACGTTCTGGAAACGTAATACTGTTTACATGACATGCATTCTCCCCGCAGAATGTTTATGACCATAGTAAGAGTATTACTACCGAAGATTCCCTGGAAACACAAAGAAGGGGCTATACTGAAAGGTGCCTCCAACGTTCCTCAGAACTGCAGAATGGAAACAACAGCTTTCGGGAAAAACATCCAGGAAGAAGTTGAAGGTGCGCTACAAGGACAACAGAGAGGCTCAAAAGATCTGTGGTTTCTTCTTGGAAAAAAAAAAAGGGTGCAAAAGAGTGAGACTAAAAGAAGATACATCAGGATTGAAAAGGGAGGATATCATGTTTCAGATCAGACACTTTTACTTACAGCCAAAATGGTGAATTCCTGCAAAAGTAAAGATCACCAAGAAGGAAAGAAAGACAGTAAACCCAGTTAAGATTCACATACACGTATACAAAACTCACTCAGGTCTCTTCCTTCCTCCCTTACTGTGGCAATTATCGGGGAATGGCCTGGTGTGACAAGAATCGTCATGCTTTGTAAACTTTCATAATCATTTTTCGAAGCACAGCGGTACAGGAAAAGCAATGGCATACAAGATGCACAGCACAAATTAAGTTCTTGTCAATTCCTCTAAAAAAATGAAGTCTCCACAAGATAAATTTTCTTTGAGTGCTCACTGTAATCTCTAGACGCTATTCAGAATGGTGGTAGGCAAGTAGACATGTAAAATGAAGTGAAAAACTAATCGTGAGATCTTCAAGGACTATCACTGGAACACTTGGATTAAACCTTAGGTTGTGGCTTACATGCTTCATCATGATCTTTCCAACTTATAAATAATGTCACTTAATTGAAATGGAATCAGGATCTCGGAAGTTTGCAAAGCTGAATATAACAGTTTCATTACATTTGCCAATTAATGTTGTGGCATTTATTGAGGATCTGTTGTATTGCAGTTTAAGCTTTCATTTAAAAAGTGAAATAAGGAAATACAGGGAACAAAGTCTAAGTGACAGATACACGAGGTATTTTACATTGAAAATAATCTGCACTCAATGCAATGGCAATGCTTATTTTATGGCTGCTCTTTAGGCAAGCTCATATTTTAATTAAAATCTGGAAAAATAAAAGGAGGAGAGGCCCAAAGACTTCTTCTGAGTCCTGACTTCTGTAATTATTTGTTTAAATCATGGAAATTGAATGACCAGAGATTGACAATTAAGCCATGATATCTGATATAAAAATTTTGGTTTTTTTTTTTTTTCTCAAAACCTATTTTGGCTGCTGTTAATAAGAGGGCAAAACTGTATCAGAATTTATGAAAACAACCTGACTTTTGTTCCTTATTTGGTGAATTTGAAATATTAATTTCTCAATTATTGATAAAGCATATTTAAATGTGACAGATTGAATAATTATATTCACTTCTCTAATTTGGGGATTTAAGTAATATTGATGTTTTATCCTATAGGGGTTCTGTTTTTCAAAATGGCTTTTTCTGGGTAATAGCTATCAGATGACTTTCTACTTAATAATTGGGTAAAAACACTGAATTTTAAAGATTGCCAATGAAGGCCAATCAACTATTCTTTTCAACATGTTACTTCTTATGCAGCCAGTGTAATATATATATTACTGATCATTCAAGTCAAAATGTGTAATGAAACAAAATCTGTTAAATGCACACAATTATTCATATTATAATTCAACAATGGCAAGCAATGCATATCTCCTTAAAACAGAGACCAAACCCAGAGTTCTTCTTAAGAAAATAAGTATGTTTTTTCATACTAACACCTTATAAATATTTTTTTAATTTATAACTATTAAGATATATTATAGTCTAGAATATACCCAGGATATTGTAAATGTAGCCAATGAACTACTAACATGTATTTTTTATATAATGGTTTAAAACAAACAAGTCAAGAGGCATTTTACACAATTGGCAGGCAAGGAAAAAATAAGTAAAGAAACATATTTCAAAGAGCTAGTTCTAGAATCATCAGCCTTGATAGTGCTAAGACTGCAGTGGTAAAACATTTCAATTATTTTTCTAAGAAAGATTCCATTCATCTGCCTAAGTTATCCAAGGCACTTGGTGCCCATGAACTTCTGATGCTTTCAGGATGGATGTCAATATTGTTTTCGTGGAGTTATTATACTGTGACTCCAGGGATGTAAGAATTTTAAATCACAAGCGAAGTCCAACTGCATAAAAATTAGCAGGAAGTTGCTGCTTTGGTATAAAAAGTGAAGCAACAGCAAGCAAAGTAAAGCAAAAAGTAAGGGATACTTTTTTAGTATAAAAAATCTCTATAAAAAGGTAAATCTCATGATGGAAAACACAGTTCTGTGTGTTTGAGACTGATTTCATGTAGCACTAGTTCTTTGACAACAGAAAGGTCTCTGTCTTTAAAACCAGCTTAAGATGCTACATTTTAAAAACAGGTTGAAAGGGCAGATATACAACATAAGGAGAGAAAATTATTTAAGTAGAAAGCCATAGATTGAAACATTTTAGCTACTGTGAGAAATTTCAGCCAAAGTGAGAGAGAGAGAAAAAGGTGGGAGTTTAATAGTAATATGTTTAACATCAGAAGCTGCATGCAAAGGTCAGGTTTTCAGGAAACAGCTACAAGTGATCTATGCAGAAGGAAATATAGCTACAGAGTACCCACTGGATTTTCCAAGCATGCATATCAAAGTTTTAGAAGCTACATTTTATAAGGTGAGGAAAAGGTGTCTGCAGTTAGTCCTACTACCGAGCAAAACCTACCTGGAATGAAATACTGTTCTTTAGCTAAATAAAAAAAGAGAAAAAAAAATAGAAGATGCACCTGAATGTCAGCAAGCAGAGATACGAGTTATATTAGATTAAGAATGGACTAAAGTTACTATAGATAACTAAGTGAAAATGTATATTCACAGCAGTGGCTGAAGTATAATCATGTACAGTGAGTAGGAAATGCATCTGGAACCATGGACAATAAAGGGCTTTGTTTTGATATTAGCTTCTTAGTATAAATTAACTGCCAAATGTGAAATAACTCCTGAAATAGTTAGGTAGCATACTACCCAAAACATATAGAATGCACTTTATTATGAGAAGATAGAAAAGATTATACCTAAGCAAACAGTAAAGTTCAACGAAGTAAGTTTTCCCTTTAATATTAATAAAATGCATCTATATCTCACTTTTTATAAGTAAATGTAATATTCCCAAAGTGTTAAAAGATGGCCTTTTGGAAAAAGAATGTACCCTCACAGTCCTATTCAAAATGCGAGAATGCAAAACAAGAAAACAGCATTCGGTGTGAGAAGCAAGGAATCCGGAGCTTTTTTTCCCCCTACTTCTGAGCCTGAGCAAATCAAGTAACCAAATCTCAGTTCACTTTCTTAAAGAAATGGAAACATGATTAATTACTTTACTGTTGCTCAGTGAAAAACAATACAACAAACTTGAGACTTACAGCCTTTGAAAGGCACTGAGTTAGATAAAAGGCCCCTGTTACATTCAAACCCTGGGATTATAGTATGAAGTATCCAGGCGTCTTTTTTTCTTTATTTCTTCTGCTGGATATTGTGTTAAAAATGTTACATGTAGGAGTGCTATATGAATTGCGACTACAGCTCTTTTCCTTCATGGGCAGAAGAAAAAGAAATACGATTCTGCAATGTTTGGTAATTCAGCTCAAGGCCAGCTGTCTCCACATCTCACTACTGTTTTGGGTAACGCTGGGGAAATGTTACACAAAGTAAGAAGTTACCTGAACAACGGAATTTCTTGCTTTTGATCTGTCCGATTCTTTTATTTGCCAGACGCCGGGGGCTGGTGCAGCGGGCACCACTGGTCTCGATTGGGTTGGTATGAAGATAATCCGCCAGCCACTTGAGATGGCAGTCACAAATAAAGGGGTTCTGGGCCAAATGCCTTTCAGAAACACATACAGAACACTTTTACACATGACTTGCAATGAACTCAACTCTCCAATTGAGAGTGAATACAATGGTCATCACGTTTGATCCAAATCCTATATACATACATGGTTTGAATGGCACGGAGAGGTGAAAAGGTCCCTTTGGCGATGGTCTGAAGCTTGTTGTCATATAAGGAGAGAAGGTTCAGGTTGTGCAGATCCTGAAAAGCATCTACCCGAAGGCAGTTTATCTTGTTGGCATTCAATAATCTGTTTGATTAAATAGTCGTAGAATTAAAGTGTAGTATCTCATTAACCCATCTTCAAGACTCTGTTGTTCTTGAGAAAACCCAATCAAGAAATCCATTTCTTTTACCCTCAACATTAAGTAATCATTGAGGTATCACAGGCTGAAGATTTGGGGTCATGGCAGATAAAGCATGGGTCATGTCTAATGATTGGATTGCCTAAATCTAGTGGTACTTATACATTTATTCAACAAAAATTATTAAATATATTCTCTGGAATGTGTAGAAGTACAGCAATAGACAAAGGTGGGTGAGAGCCAGTTTCTCCTGTCAAGGACACCATAAAGTTCTCATAAAACATTAGTCTCTGGAGCTGCTCTGTGAAAAAGAAGTTCAGTCCATTCTCAAAACGGTAGCCAGAGTGAGACTTCTAAACATAGACCAGAATACATCACCCCTCTCTCAAAACCATGCAACAACTCCCAGTTTGCTCTGAATAAAACCTAAGACTTGACAATAGCCCATAATGCCCAATGGGATCTTTGGTTCCTCTTTTGAACTTTACAACCTCCAAATTTTCTATTCCTGGCTGTTTCAGCTCCGGCCACACAGGTCTCCTTGCCAGACTCTCTTCTCTGCTTGGAAGGTTCTTCTCCCAGATGTCTGCCTGGTTAACTATGTTGCTTCTTCGAGTCGGCTGCAATGTCACCTTTCCCATTCAGCCTCCCCCCGCCACTCCCTCCAATACTGTCGGCCTGTCTTTGCCCCTCCCCTATCCTTAGCATCTCAATTCCTTTACTTTAATCTACTTTTTCTATTTTCTTAAATACACATTTCTTTTTGTTATGTGTGATTTGCTTATTTATTATGTTCTTGCTGACTGCCATCTGCATGAACCATCTCCCAAGGGTATAAGTCCAGACAACAGGGATATTAGTCTATTTTGTTCTCTGTTGTTTCCCACATGCCTGGCATGTGCTAGGTGCTCAATAAATATTTGTTGTTGAACGACTACTTTATAACCATCTTGGAGAGTGGCATTATCACACGAAAACCCTCATTCTGCATTATACATATCCATTTCATTTGGTTTAACGTAATATCCCACAAACTTGTTTTTTCTCATATATACCAGCGGTATTCTGCATCAATATTCTGTGGAACTGTGGTCTATAGATCACACTTGAGCAAACATCATTCTTGTAGGTTATATGTCCCTGTGTCTGCACTTGTATTCATGCTTCCCTCACCTTTGAGAGGGTACTTGCCCGACTCTCCACCTGCCTCAACCTTCTGGCCTATCAAGGTCTCACAGAAGGCCCACCTTCTCCAGAACAAGACTTTTCCAGAATACAACTGCCACCCAACTAATGTATTCCTTCCTCTAGGAAGTCAGTCAGTGCTACCTAGTCTTGTCAACTATTTTATAGAGGCCCTCATGTTTGCCCAAAGACAGTTTAGCCCTCCAGGGGCAGAGAATTTTTTTTGATACTTCTATTTCTCGGTCACCATTCAGTTCAGAGCTTTGATACTTAGGACTTTAACAAATATTTAGTAGCTCAAAAAATATGTGCTATGTGGTTTGTGTATGATGCGTTTTTATCTAACACACTGAAAACTGTTTTCCCATTTGCCCACCAGAATCTCTGTAATTCAGGGTATTCCAATTTTACTTGCCTTTTTAAGACCTCAACTCCCTGCACATGCAAAGCCATGACTTTCTAGTGGTGGTTCTCCCTGCTGTACTTTTTTATCTTCCTTCAGAAACTGCAGTTTTGGCTTTCTCTGTGATCTATATAATACTTTCTTAAGAGCTTAGAGGCATGGTTTGAGGTGTGGACTGATTAATCCTATACCTTCCCACTTGGGGCCACAACACACGGCCCACTGGCCATGTTCCCTAACTAGTGAGCTAACTAAGAAAGGAGCTGGAGAGCACAATGCTAAGGACAAGGAAAAGATGCAGAGCCTGGAAGACACAACTAACGAAAGTGCCGTTCTGAGCACTTTGTACTTAGTTTACATTCAGGTGGTACAGAAATTAGGGGGAAAATACCGAGCACTACTTTCTTTTGTTCCTTCCATTTACCTACTTCTTCTCCTCAATATCTCATCTGTTCAAGCAGATCTAAGATGTTTAACCTAACCAAATTCTCAACTAACCATAAAGAGTCAATTGTGCCACATTAGCTCTGGCAGGCTTAGTCTAGAGACAGAACTTAAGGCAGAGGGAGAAAGCTGGCTTTTTTAGTAAGGTTTATCTACATACAGATTCCCAGTGTTTATCAACCCACTTGTTACAATAACTACCAATAAATGTGTGTGGAAAGAAAAAGGTGCCATTTTTAGTGTTGGTACTAGGCAGGACAGTGGTAGCAAGAGAATGTAAGTGAATGGTGAGGAGAATAATGCTATGAAGATGTGACAGAACGACACAAAAGTAAATAACAAAAAGGTAACACTTGGCTATAGTACCTAGCTATACCTATAATGTGTATAGAGTCATCCTATTCAAGATCAGAAACAATATTTGCTAACTTCACTGCAAATGAAGGGTTAAAAAATAATTTGATGCCCAAATAAAGTCACTAGGTCACAAAGGTCAGTATTTATCATGACTGATTGGTCTGTTGTAAAATCAATTTATTGACTTATGTAGCATTAAGAAGAGAGAAAGAATGGAACAGAATTGACAGTACTATACATAGTGAGGTTAAACAGTTTTGTAAATGATTTGCTTCACTTATGTGTCTGTATGAACAGACACATATGTGTATATGTGTACATATGTGTATATGTATGACACACATATGTGTACATGTGTATATGTATGAACCATGTTATGATATAAAATATGTTTCTGCATAATAATGAAAAGTTTAAAATGTGGATAATAGGATGTAATTATAAACATACATTTATCAAGTAAGGAAAAAAATCAACCTTTGGGCTGTTTGTGAGATCAGGAATAAATTTTTACCAAGTAAGTGGTTCAAACCCCAACTCCAACAAATACACACATCCAAAAGAGAAAATAGCATTCTAAACTTAAGAATTTTAAAGTAGACTGACTGTGGGCTAGTTGAGAGAAGAAATTATATCATACTCATCTTTCTATCCACAGCAGCTAGGTCAGTGTGTACCCCAAATGAGATACCCTATACGTGTTTGGTGATTTGAATAGACTTTGATGGTCCAACACTAACAATCTTAGTATTAGCATATTTTTTCAATCTCATTTTCATATGAGCATTAATTAAGACATCTGGGGTCAAGTCTTATTCTTATAAATATGTATCATAAATACTTCTTTCGAGACAAATAAGTTGTAGCTATTCTCTAAGCAGAGTGGTCTTTAAAGACAAAATACAGGAAACTGACAGATAATTCTCTCACTAAAGATTAGTTTGAATGTTACCACTCTGTCCTAGGCTACTAAACGCCATCTTTGTGTTGGGGGATGTTATTCTAGTATTGTCACTGTTGCAGATTCTTTGGACAAAGGTGGATAAACATATTACCAGGTCTTTCTCCTTTCCAACTATTGGTAAATCAAACCGGAGAAATTTCATAAAGGGCAAGGATTCCACAAACTATAAATGACAGAACAGCCAGGATGCTCACATTTATGACAATGTGGAAAGAAAGGTTTGGGAACAATTTCAAAGTGTTGTGTCTTCCAATAAATAACCATCATCAATGTTAGCTCCACTAGACTAATCTTTTCCATTTCATGAAACTATGTCATTTTGGGTCAAATTTTTCTGAAGCCTCCATGAAAATATGAGATGGTACACTGGCTAAAATATATATTTGGGTTCAACAGATCAGAAACAATCAAATACTTACAGTAGCTGTAAGGAAAACAGTCCTTCAAATAAACTTTTTGGGAGTTCTGTGATTTTATTTCCATAGAGGACACTGGAAAAACATGATTTGAACAAACAAAAAAATTAGACATCAACCAGCAAAACAAATTCAGCCAAACATATGTATTCAGGCATATAGGAGGTTAGTAAGCTCCATATGTCATAAAAGCCATAGTTGAGTAAACAAACTTCAATCTGCAAATGTTTTTTCCCTGATTATAGATTAGACATAGCTTATGGTAGAAAGTTTGGAAAACATAGAAAAACAAAAAAATTAACATAATTTATAATTTTATTCCCCTTTTATAGAAATGTCCACTGTTAAATTGTCATGTGTTTACACACACACACACACACACACACACACATGCACACACAGTTCATATGTAATGAGAGCACACAGTATATAACAAAGGAGAACAGTAAATGTGGAACGTACTGTTCTTTAAAGGGATGAGGTTTAGGATTATCATAATGGAAAACAGTGAAAGGAATCCACATAAGTGTAAAATTTTCGTTTTAAACATATAATGTATATGCATAAGAAATGTAAGATTTGTGAAGACAGTGATCATTAATATTGATACAGGAGAATTTTTAAAATGTATGTTCACCAAAGAAATATGAATAGGAATGTATTGTCATGTCCCTACCTCTGATTAGCCACTAAGTGTAGCCACAAAGTGCAGGGATCATGACTTGATTACTTCAGCATACCTGGTGCCTAGGTTTTGATACACAGTGATGTTCTAACATTGGATTGATGAATGAATATTGTTTGAAGAGTAAAATGAGTAATAAATTAGCACAGGAACAAATTAAGGAATAAATTAATGTATTCACAGAAAGGGTGAAATGAGGGGATTTCAACAGCAAATAAATGAAAATGATTGACTCATCATGTTGGCTATTGACCACAGATCTGCAATGATGCCCCTCTATTTTTCAGGCCTCAAAAGCAGAGGACCACAATTATGTGTAGGAAAAGATAGAAATTATATTTTTAGAGGAACAATTTGACAACATGTATCAGAGTCGTAAAGATGTTTATATAAATTTTAACTTAGTAATTTCTCTCAAGAGTTTAAGAAAAAACTCGGAGACAAACACAATATTTTATCTGTCAAATGTTGTTCATGGAATAATTTATAACAGTGAACAATTAAATACAAATAAAGTGTATCCAAGTTCCAAAGAAGGGGATTGGCTAAATATATATTTCACATTGATAAAAATCATGTTCTGAACAATATTTAGTGAAATGAAAGTATTCATGATACAACACTAAGTTTAAAAGAGCATAATACAAAAGAATATATTATAGTATAATTTTAACTTTGTTTAGAAGAATATATACATATACACATAGAAAAAAAAAGTGGAAAACCTCTAGATGGTAAGTGACTTACTGTCCAGAGGTCATTTGAATTTGAATCTATATATACTGTCTTTATTTTAAAAATATTCTCTAGGATGGGCATAAATTACTTTAAAAAGTCAGAAGTATTCTTTTGCAAGAGAAATAAATGATGTCATAAAATGTGGAGGAGGGTGGGAGGGAGGGAGACGGAAGAGGGAAGAGATATGGGAACATATGTATATGTATAACTGATTCACTTTGTTATAAAGCAGAAAGTAACACACCATTGTAAAGCAATTATACTCCAATCAAGATGTAAAAAAAAAATGTGGAGGAAAAAGCCAAAATGTGAATCAAAATAATTAATATGTTTGGCAGCTGTACATGATTTCTGTTTGGAAAGGAGGAAAATAATGTAAGAGAGATGAATCAGAGTGAGGAAAAAGCTGTTCCCTTTTAAGATGTCAGCGAGAGGTGGGATATATTACAAAATATGAAGAAAATTCTTAAGGGAACAAATAAAGCTGGGTGCTATACTGTACAATGTGACATTTCATTTGTATAGATTCCAGTGGTATAGTTATACAGTATAACATAAAAATTCATTTGTATAGAATATAGATTTTTTAAAAAACACAATTAGAGAAGAAACAATTTTTAAAATACAAGAACAAAAGAGAGAATTCTACATTGTCAGGCTCAAGGAGGTAAGGGCATTAAGAAAGGGTAGAGCAATAATAATATATATCTTAAGGTCAAGAATAAGAGAACAGAGGGCTTTAGGGAACAAATGATCAGATCAAGGTGGCACCAATTCGGGATATTCAACTGAATATCATTCAAGTAATGCACTCAGCAATAGGTATTGTACACTCATTATGTGCCAGGAACTTTGCCAGGTTCTAGGCTTCGTGCCCAATTAAACTGAATCCAGCTGTTACTTGTTCAATGTTTACCCTTGGCCCGTGTGCCAGCCGCTGATACAACTGAGATGAATAAAAGGTATGGCTTCAAAGAGACACTCAAAAGGGCTATTTTGAATACTGAAGGAGTTTCACATTTTGAACCCATCGAGATCTAAAAAGGAAACAGGATGTGTAAGAACTGTGGGGAACCCACATTAGAATCAAAGGGTGAGTAATTTAGTAGGTTGTTCACTTGGGTCTTTTGTTTCAAAGGTTGGTTCAAATAGCACAAAAGGAGGACTAGCTAGACAGTGTGCCATACTTACACTGTGAACATTTTCTTTTCCAACAAATCATTCTGTTTTCTTTAAGATCATGATAAGAAAATAGATGTTTACTATTAATGAGACAATTTGGGTACAGGGGAGAAAAAGACGAAAATCACAAAAAGATGTAGGAAATCTGTAAGTGTAGGTATAATTGGGTATACGGACTATCATAAAAATATTATAATAAATACTTGATATGATGGGGATGAGATTTCTCTACAAAACGGTATAGCCATACTAGGGCTGAATCGTTTTTTTACACACAGTGAGATCGAAATGGTAGGAAGGAAAAAGGGATTTAAAAATATCAGAAGTCCAAAGACCAGGACGGAACAATTGGATGGCAGCCAAGAAAATAGGGCCAAAGTCTATAAAAATGAGGGAAAGGAGTATCGTCACATAAAGATACAAACTGCAAGAGGGCCAATGAGAATCTTGCTACACTCATAAGAGGGAAGGAAAATTTTTAAGATAAAAGATAAAAATAATTCAGGTGAAAAGAAAATAAATACATGAGTAATACGCACAATTTCCAAATACCAAGAATGACAAATTGGGTAGCTTTTCTACAGTTTTCTTATACATGGCTTATATTTGCCATTCTATATACAATACAGTTATGCTGACAGAGAATTTTTTATAGTCGTTTGAAACAACAGGGAAATCTTATGGCAGCTTTTGTACCTGCTACAAGAAGGAAGGCTAAGAATACTAAACCCAGTTTCACTCTGGTGTTTCAATACTGGGACAGTAAGATACAGCAACCACTGCTGGCCAGTCTTTGACTTCTCCTGCCCTTGCTGAAAGCAGAAGACAGAACTCCTACTAAAGAGAAAAAATGTCCAAAATAGAAACCTACATGATGGCTATCATGAAAAAGGTGCAATGGGCAGACTTACTATCCAAATAAATGTTAAAGAGCTATAGTTACTTATAAATGAAAAACCACGTGTACTTGGAGAATTAAAACACTAAGCAAATTTAAAGAGAGTACAGTAAAGAGAAAGCAGAGGTCACTACATTTTCACTGAAAACCAGTGATAAATGCAAGGTACTGTGCTGGACAGTTAACATCAGTCCAAGAAAAGCCTGTAGGAAACGCAAATACAGCAATCAAGCCTTACACTATAGACCCCTGTGGAATTTGTGAGCTGGTTAGTGAAGAGAGGAAATAAGAATCAGTGAACTACAATAGTTTGTAAAAGGTTAATGAAAAAGTAAGAAGAGGGGAAAACCATATTCTGAGGATCTTGGGCATAAAAATTCCCTGGGATAATTAAAATCCAAAATCATACACATTGATAAGTATCAGGAGAAGAATTTGCCATGGTCTTATTGTAATATCTCTTGAAAGTTTATTCTGTGTTTTTAACAAAGCCAGGAGGGGAATAATCTCATCCCCATCTTAGAGATGAGATAACTGAAGAACAGCGAAATTAGTAACTAGCTCTGTGTACCAGTGAGTTAGAGCCAGTATTCGAATACAAGCCATCCAGCATTCTAAAGGAGATATGCTTAGCCACTATGCTGCACTGCTATAACACTTATTATAAAGTTATTTTGTTAATATAAATATATATAATTATAATATAATATAAATCCAACCAGTAAATGAAAAATAAAAAATGTTTAGAGGCAATGCTAAATGTACTTGTATGCCAAGTTCTTAAGAAATGATTATTAAATATTATAGAAATTTTGTTGATGTCACAGTGAAAGTAATAAAAAGCCCTGAGGATAAAATGATTTCATAGATGCATGTATTTTGAATGATATTTTGTTAATAATATGTAATACATTGTTATATAATAAAATATGTTAATATATAATAGTGGTATATAATATATATAATAGTGATATATAATAATATGTAACAAAATAAATGTTAATAAAAATAAATAAATGTTAATGAATTTAATAGGCGAGACCTTAAAAAACACTCAACAGATCAAGTCCAGTTTTCTCTAAGATATACTATTTTGGTAATTGAATACAAAAACAATTTATTAAATAAAATGCATTAGAGGTATTTGGCAACATACCACCTTTAAATATTTTGCTTCTTTAGCAAATGTAGTGATTAAATTAAGCTGGCTATATAATTGAGTACAGCTGCAGTAAGACATATAAAAGCAGCTTGTACAAGTAAACACTTCATTTAAAGCAAGAAATGTGGCCTATTTGCATCCCTCTTGCAGTTAATCTACATACACCTAAGTCACTTCACCCCTTTCTGGAAGACCTAAACTCCTGGCTCACTATTTCAGTCTCCAACATGACTCTTTTCCAGCAACCTGTCTTTCACCATATTTATCCCTCTATCCTCGTGGCTGTACCCTAGTCCTTGCCATTACCAACAACTGCAACCTTTTCATTATTTTAATTTCAAGCATCTGCTCCCCTCAAGTCATACTGACTTTTTCTTGCTCTGTCTTGAAACACTCCGCACACTCCTACCTCAGAGCCTCAGTATTTAGCTGTTCTCTCTGTTTTTTTTTAATACTTTTATTTAATTTATTTATTTATTTATTTTTGGCTGCATTGGGTCTTCGTTGCTGCGTGTGGGGCTTTCTCTAGCTGCGGCGAGCGGGGGCTACTCTTCGTCACCATGCACGGGCTTCTCATTGCAGTGGCTTCTCTTGTTGCGGAGCACAGGCTCTAGGCGCGCGGGCTTCAGTAGTTGTGGCATGTGGGCTCAGCAGTTGTGGCTCGTGGGCTCTAGAGCGCAGGCTCAGCTGTTGTGGCGCACAGGCTTAGTTGCTCCACGGCATGTGGGATCTTCCCGTACCGGGGCTCGAAGCCAGGTCCCCTGCCCTGGCAGGTGGATTCTCAACCACTGCTCCACCAGGGAAGCCCTGTTCCCTCTGTCTTGAATGCTCTTGCTCCATATCTCTGCAGAGCTCACTCCTACAATCCCAATCTTCAGATCTTTGCCCAATATCACTTTCCCGGGGGGCCTTTGTTAATTGTTCTATTTAAAATTTTAGCTCTCCCCTCCTCTAGCATTCCTTATCCCCTTTGCTTTCTTAGTTTTCCTTCATAGCACCTGTATCATCAGATATACTATATTTTCTGTCCATAGTTTACTTTATCATTGGTCACTTCCATGAGGGAGGGATTTTGGTGTTTTGTTCACTCACGTGGGGACTAGTACACAAGAGAGGCCCAAATACATTTCTGTTGAATTTATGATTGTGTTTAAATGAAGAAAAGGGTGATTGCAAATCCGGGTAGTTATATATTTTATGGAGGGGGTAAATAATTTAATCTTTGGAAGGCCAATTCAGAACATGAACACAAAGAGGAAAATAATATTAATTATAATATATGGACTTTCTCTGTGATATCATAGCTATTTGATTTTCTCCTAGCTTTTCTGTTTTACAATGTTATAAGGCATTATGTGGGTATTCCACCTCTGGAAAAAGGTTCCTACTTTTCCATGTACTGCTATGATTTGAACTAGAAATTCCTCAGTGACTTAGCGTCCTGACTGAAATGCAGTTCTACAAGGAAAGATAATGCTTTTCTATAGCTTTCCAAAAGAACTATGTACATGAGAGCTATGATCTTGAAGACTAAGATCCCAATTCAGCAAGCAAGTTCTTTTACATGTGTTGTCATTTCTTTTCCAATTTGCCATTAGTTTATTATATATGTAGATTAGTACATAAGTTATAATCATTAATTATAATAAATATATATTTAATAAATATAATGTAATTTACTGTGATGAATGATTAACAAAATTAAAATGAATACTATTTTATTTTATTATTTCTTTTTATCATTTAATTCTCACAACCACAAGTGTCAACATATTAAGGCAGTAGAACTTAACAGTAAACTCTGCAAGCAAGCAGATATAAATCAGAATTCTCCATCCATTTCTCTCTTTTTTTGACATTTAATGGTTATCTTTGAGGCGCAGATACTTGAAGGACCAAGACTTTGTACACTGACTTGACTTTTGTTCTGTCCTTTTGTATGGCTGGGAGGTTGTCTATGTTTACTTTGGATAGTATTACTGTCCAGGATGGTATGTACTTTACGGACAATTTGGGTGATTTAATAGAGTTTTGCATTGCGCTTTGCAATTTTAGAATCTGACAGCCCACCCTGAGAAGAGTGCATGACTGTACTTTACACTTTCTGCCAATAGTTGTTTCCCTGGTCTTGGACTTCATCTATTAAAATAAAAATCCAAAACAAAAACCAAACAGAAATGAACCTAGGCAGACACTGCAGGTGAAGTGATAGTTTTCCACTTTTTTTCTTCAAAGAAAACTGCAGTTTTCTGAGCAGACTGGCATAGCAACTTGAACATCCATGTGCCCAGAAGAGCTGGCCCATCTCCTCCCCTTGGTATGAGTGTAAACTGTTATATAAACCAAAGGTGTTTATCTGAGTATCACACATGTGTATCCTGAAATTCTCACTGGCTACCATTGACTTCTGAAGTTTCTAAGTACCCTGCAGTAATTTACAACAATAAGAACCCTTCTCTAAGCATCACCTCTTTAAAAAATACCAGATTTCATTTCCAAACTTTAAAATTAAAATTTGAAATAAAAGCTAACTCTACTCGGTGGACTTCTGAAGATTTTGTACAAGTTTGAAGGAATAATGGCCTTTATAAATTCACTTCAGAAGCACTTTAATTTACATAGCTGTCTCCCTGGAAGTCCTTTTGACATTAAAAAGCTGTCATACTTTCTTATCTTTGTTCTTTGAGAGATTAAAGCTGGTCTGTCAGGGAAGTCTTTTTTTTTTTTTTTTTTTTTTTTTTTTCCCACCCCTCCAGACAGCCACAAAGAACCGAGCCGGTTTCCCTGTGCCATGCGGCTGCTTCCCACTGGCTATCTACCTTACGTTTGTTAGTATATATATGTCCATGTCTCTCTCTCGCCCTAACACACCTCACCCTTCCCCCTCCCCATATCCTCAAGTCTGTTCTCCAGTAGGTCTCTGTCTTTATTCCTGTTTTACCCCTAGGTTCTTCATAACATTTTTTTTTCTTAAATTCCATATATATGTGTTAGCATACGGTATTTGTCCTTCTCTTTCTGACTTACTTCACTCTGTATGACAGACTCTAGATCTATCCACCTCATTACAAATAGCTCAATTTCGTTTCTTTTTATGGCTGAGTAATATTCCATTGTATATATGTGCCACATCTTCTTTATCCATTCATCCGACGACGGGCACTTAGGTTGTTTCCATCTCCGGGCTATTGTAAATAGAGCTGCAATGAACATTTTGGTACATGACTCTTTCTGAATTCTGGTTTCCTCAGGGTATATACCTAGTAGTGGGATTGCTGGGTCATATGGTAGTTCTATTTGTAGTTTTTTAAGGAACCTCCATACTGTTCTCCATAGTGGCTGAACCAATTCACATTCCCACCAGCAGTGCAAGAGTGTTCCCTTTTCTCCACACCCTCTCCAGCATTTATTGTTTCTAGATTTTTTGATGATGGCCATTCTGACTGGTGTGAGATGATATCTCATTGTAGTTTTGATTTGCATTTCTCTAATGATTAATGATGTTGAGCATTCTTTCATGTGTTTGTTGGCAGTCTGTATATCTTCTTTGGAGAAATGTCTATTTAGGTCTTCTGCCCATTTTTGGATTGGGTTGTTTATTTTTTTGTTATTGAGCTGCATGAGCTGCCTGTAAATTTTAGAGATTAATCCTTTGTCAGTTGATTCATTTGCAAATATTTTCTCCCATTCTGAGGGCTGTCTTTTGGTCTTGTTTATGGTTTCCTTTGCTGTGCAAAAGCTTTGAAGTTTCATTAGGTCCCATTTGTTTATTTTTGTTTTTATCTCCATTACTCTAGGAGATGGGTCAAGAAGGATCTTGCTGTGATTTATGTCATAGAGTGTTCTGCCTATGTTTTCCTCTAAGAGTTTGATAGTTTCTGGCCTTACATTTAGGTCTTTAATCCATTTTGAGCTTATTTTTGTGTATGGTGTTAGGGAGTGATCTAATCTCATACTTTTACATGTACCTATCCAATTTTCCCAGCACCACTTATTGAAGAGGCTGTCCTTTCTCCACTGTATATTCCTGCCACCTTTATCAAAGATAAGGTGACCATATGTGCATGGGTTTATCTCTGGGCTTTCTATCCTATTCCATTGATCTATCTTTCTGTTTTTGTGCCAGTACCATACTGTCTTGATTACTGTAGCTTTGTAGTATAGTCTGAAGTCAGGCAGCCAAAGCAATCTTGAGAACAAAAAATGGAGCTGGAGGAATCAGGCTGCCTGATGTCAGGGAAGTCTTTAGGTGATGAAGCAGGGGTTGGGGGGCCCTCTCAATGGTCGTCTTCCACTGTTCTCTACAAGACTTCACCCAACATCATTCTAAAGGGGACTGTAATTGTCCCCAGAGACAGCGGCTATGGGCTTAAGAATTATCAACACAACACTGACCAGAGCACTCCAAAATAAACATTTTCCCTTTACTTCAGAAAGAAAACATTGTCAAAAAAGGGGCTCATACTCTTGCTCTCTAAACAGCAGAACTGTCAAACCTTAAAATATATACCCCCTAAAAATTGGCTAATTTTAGTGGCAGGTAGCAGTTCTCCATAAAAATGATGAAATTCACTAAAGATTCATACTAATTATTGTTAATAATTCATAATAAAAAACTGAAAGAGTATATCCCTTAAATCCAAATTTAAAACTAGAGCCACTATTCCTTGTGTGTGCTGCTTTCCTTCAGTGATGTGGTCAATACTTACAGTGAATTCAGAGAGCGTAGTCCTTGGAAAGCATCTGGTGCTAGCTCAGAGATCTGATTATTGCTCAGGTCGCTAAGATTAAAAATAGGTTAGGTTAAACTAAATAGAATATCAGTGAGATTTACTGCAGGAGAAAGCTATTTATTGCCTTTGCATGTCAGTTTTGCACCTATCAATACACATATAAAATTTGCAATATGAAACATCTGAAGCATCCTAAATTAAAAAAAAATCACACTTTTAAATCAATTATGGGCTATTTTCCTAAATTATTATTAAAGATGGCATGTGTTATTTTTGAAAATAGAATATTTAAGAATTTGACTGCATAATATATTGACCACGTACATTCACACTAGTGTGAATTAATATGCTAAATTACAGAGAACTTAAAAAATTAATCGTTTTGCTTTTGACATTACAATATTATAGAACTAGCAACAGATAGTCACATCATTTAATACGTAATCTGTCGAGTATTTATTCATACTTAAATGGATGTCTTCGCATGGTCATGACTTGTATAATTTTTAAAAATTACACTGATTTCAGAATATTATTCACTCACATTCTTCTAAGCTTTTTATATGGTGAGAAAGCTCCAGGAGGAATGACCTTGATTGAGTTCTGTTCCAAACGTCTGCAACGAAAAAAAAATTAAGTTTTAAATAGAAATGTGAGCTCCCAGATATGTTTAATTCAAGCCATGTCAAGAAGCAAAGGTGATATGCTTTATAAGTGATATTTTCTATTTTTCTCAAAAAAGACTACTAAAATTAATTGTGCTCTGCCCTAAATGTGGTACAAGATTGGGAATAAAAGCAAAGCAACTCTAAAAACAATAAAAATATTCTGATTTTTTAGGCATTACAAGTTCATTAATATTTAAGTCTGGAGTTTGTAAGAAGCTAAGTTGGGAATACATTTTGCTAACTTCAATATCAGGAAGAAATACGTTGTAACATTGAAAAGATGTAGAACATGATTTAGAGATAACTATAACTCTTCCACAAAAGACATTATGGTTGAATACTAAATTTTATAAACCATTTCCTCTACAGAAAGCATATTATAGCAGAAAATTAATTTTGAAGCTTCTTCTGAGGCAAAAATCCTATATTCTAAATTTATAAGTGCTACAGATATTTTCAGTAAAACTGTCTGGACTCTGTCAATCCATTATGTGAATATTTCATGTGAAAACCACTGCAGCGAAGTGCATTTAAACACAACTGCTGTGTTTTTATGATGCACTAAAATCTGAGAGGTGAAAATAACCCTCTAACATTATCTATTCCAGAGTTCTGCTATCAAAGAAAGACAAGATTTTACCCATCTAGGTATGAAAGACACAAAACAGTATATCTCACAAGGTGTTTTGGTAAATATTTTAGTCCATCAAAAAATGCTGTCTCTCAGCCTCATTTCTACCCATGTAAATACGCTAATACACATTTCCCATCCCTTCTCCTTGCTTCTGCTCTGTATCCCAGTGAGCTGACTCCTGTGAACCATTTAGTCCAGGCTCAGTTGCTAACTGGCTTTTGTGAGACTTCATCAGTGAGACGCACTGGTGGGAGACCCAAGGTGGGACGAAGGGAGAAGCCAGGGTATTCTCCCCTTTTCTGCCTCAGGATATGTCCTCAGCAGTGGTATCATCTCTTCCTTAATTTTAGCTCCTGCTAAGGGCCAGTTCCTAACTTTGTATATCATCAACTTCTTAGTTCTTTGTAGCTCTGGGGGTGGAAGCAGCTTTCTAATCTGTGTCACTTTCTAGAGCTGTTTAATTCATTTGTCATATTAAATCCCTCTGTTGAAATACCTGGCGTGAGCTCCATTTTCTTGCCCAAATTAAAAAATATATATATAAAAAATACACATATATGTATATACATTTATATTGGTATATTTATGTATAAATATTATATACAGAGAGAGGCCATATAAATATTATATATAGAGAAAGGCCATATATAGGCTATATATGTGTCATATACAGTGATTCATTTTTATTGAATGCTGGTAATACTTTGACATTATATGTATTACAAGCATTTAATGGACATCAAATCAACATAAATAAAATATCACTAGGAGGTTAAGTCAAATTGCTTAAATTACGGTCTTTTCTGATTCAAAGGCCTTATATTACAATATCAGGTTTTCTTCAACAGTCTCAGTGTTCACCCTCTGACCTCCTTGTCTCTAAAGGCCATGGGTTTCCCCAGTCTTCACTGCTCTTGAACTCACTGTAGCATATGATATTGTGAACAATCCTTCCTCCCTTGGATGTGACACTATATGTTCCTGATTCTCGCTCTGCTTTTCTCTTTCTATTTACGGCTTCATTTTCTAGTCCTCCAAATTGAGTTATTCCCCAAGTTTCTGTCCCTTGCTCTCTCACAAAAAGGTAAAATCTTTTCTGTAACTTGCAATATTAGTCCAGAAAGCAGAAGTTGTTTTGTTCACATTAAAGAAAAACTTAAACTTAAGCTATTTACAAAATATGTTAAGGAAGCAAATTAAAATCACTCATATTACAGTACTCAGATCCGTGAATTTTACTTTAGTTTTTCTGCACGCATATTTATTTTATATAATTAAAATCTTACTGTATAGAGAATTTTGAGTTGACTCCTTTACACTAAACATCATATCATCCATGTTTTCCTATATCATTAAAATTTTTGGAAGACATTATTTTTAATGTTTTCATGACAATTCAATTGTGAAAATGTGCCATATTTCCTTAATCATTCCTTATTGTTAGCTGTTGAAGTTAATAATAATTTCACATCAATATTAATAACATTGTTTAGTTATTTTAAAATGACTAGAGCACAGCCTCCTTTTGAAGCTTTCCTTTACTTTCTTAGGTATAGTTAATTTTATCTTTCTCTCTGCTCAAGGGCATTTTCTTCTAAACTCCGCTGCTCTTATCTGACTGCATTCTATTTATTTTTCACATATCCCTCCTCCACCAAGTTGTTGGCCCCTAAGGAGCAGATTTACCCTAGAAGACAAGAAATAAATCTCATGAAGCAAATATGAATTTCCTTCATATGGATTATTTATCTAGGTCTTAAAAAAGGGTTACTTTTTTCAAAAGCTCTAAGTATAGCAAAGGATATTTTAATCATTTCACTGTTACATTATTGATTAGAACATTATGAATTGACGGTTTAGAGACACATTTTTTTTTTGCTGTGATCCATTCTTGTAGTTGGATTTTAAGAAGTTTAAAATGTAATCGACGAAAATATAGTAAAAACAAGCTATAGATTGAATACTCTTGATTAAAGGACTTTCTTCAAATCCAGGCCAATGAAACATCATTTCATTTTGTTAAAGATTTTCTCAAAATAATATAATGTGATGATGAGAAAAAATAAAAATTCTTAGCGTCTAGCAGGTTTCTTTCAACAGTCATGCAAAACTAGATCATACAATTACTTTTCGTAAATATAATTTCAGTTTCTTAAAAATAAGGAATCAGCAATTACTCATTCATTCATTCAATCTGTAAATATTTAATGACGGCACTGTGCAACATATTGTATTACATAATTGGAATTCAATGGTGATCAAAAGCAGATATGTTTATAACCTCATGGATGTTTTATTGATAAAGTTTCCAGTTTTACAGTTATACATTTCCAACTAATTTGTTCAATATGTTTTTTTTAAAAATGAGATATTCAGTACTGAGACTTCTGAAATGTCAATAACATTAACTTACAAATGTGGTCAAACTAATTCTATCGCTTAATATAATTAAAAAGCTTCTTTAGAAATTTTAAAATTCATTTATTATTTTAAAGTCTCAGAACCTAGAATACTTATAATGATCACTAATTGTTCTAATGGCTTTTAAATATATATATATATATATATATATATATATTTTTTTTTTTTACAGTACAGGGGCCTCTCACTCTTGTGGCCTCTCCCGTTGCGGAGCACAGGCTCCAGTCATGTGCTCAGCGGCCACGGCTCACGGGTCTAGCCGCTCCGCGGCATGTGGGATCTTCCCGGACCGGGCGGCCTCTCAACCACTGCGCCACCAGGGAAGCCCTTAAATATATTTTATTGTAACTTAGTTTGTGTTGAATCTGCAGTTAATTTCATTGATAACTATTCCTGCTAAAGCAAACAAAACAAAAAGATATGTGGGCCAACTATTTTTTTAGAAAATGCACGTTCAAAAAGTTACAAAACAAAGAGAATTCATGATGAAAACATATTTAATCTTATATGCAAAAATAACTCAAACATAATATAGCAATACTGCAGGTATTATTCCTTATTGCAATGTCCCATGACTTAATCTACATATGGCAAACCATATCATTTACAACATATGCAACAGAAAGCTGAACAATGACATGTACAACGGATTTGCTTGCTTTTCTTTATTTTGTTTACTTCCAACCTTGTTCCAAAAAAAGAATATTTGAAACGAAGCTTATATGGTTATTTACATTGACTCAGCAGCTAATTGGTTTTTATGGCACTGTCTAGCAGTCCATTAAGGCACAACATAATTGCCTCCTTCATTCAAAGAGACAGATTCTCATGCAGGGAAATATTCTACCACTGATAGATGTCAAACCATAAATTTTAAAACGTTTAAAAATGTCCATTTTCTTGTTTTCAGTGGACAAACAATAAACTAATGTGTACTTCCTGTAAACTTCTAGGTCTCTAGGATAAATAATTTCTGTGTTTCATTACAAGAACCTCATAATATATTTGACAAACTACAAACAACACACATCTCAAATGTTGCCCTTCCTCCTAAAACAAGAGGGGGGACTATTAAAACCAGATTATAAAAAATAAGGAGGAAAAATATTAGAGTTTTCAGGTGAAGGTTAAAAAAAAGGAAGGGTAAGCTGGGACAAAGTGAGAGAGTAGCATTGACATATATACACTACCAAATGTAAAATAGATAGCAAATGGGAACCAGCCACATAGCACAGGGAGATCAGCTCGGGGCTTTGGGACCACCTACAGGGGGGGGATAGGGAGGGTGGGAGGGAGAGGCAAGAGGGAGGGGACATGGGAACATATATATATGTATAACTGACTCACTCTGTTATAAAGCAGAAACTAACACACCATTGTAAAGCAATTATACTCCAGTAAAGATGTTAAAAAAAAAAAAAAACCAAATGTAAAATAGATAGCAAATGGGAACCAGCCACATAGCACAGGGAGATCAGCTCGGGGCTTTGGGACCACCTACAGGGGGGGGATAGGGAGGGTGGGAGGGAGAGGCAAGAGGGAGGGGACATGGGAACATATATATATGTATAACTGACTCACTCTGTTATAAAGCAGAAACTAACACACCATTGTAAAGCAATTATACTCCAATAAAGATGTTAAAAAATTATATACCTAATAACACAGCTTCAAAATATAAGAAGCACACATTGGAAAAAAGTATAAGAAACAGACATCCACAATCATTAAAAAAACAAAAACAAACAAACAAAAAATTCCAGGGTTACAAAAAGAGATAGTGTAATGGCTGAGATATATTTGCTTGCTGTAGATAAAATGCACCATAATTAAGAGACTTCCAAATGCTAGCTCTTCATAAAAAAAAAAAATAATATTTTAAATTTCAAAGTA